CGGGTCGCGTAAGGGCGGCGACGGGCCGGAAAGGGCGGCAACGGGCCGCGTAAGGGCGGCGACGGGCCGAAAAGGGCGGCAACGGGCCGCGTAAGCGCGGCGACTGGCCGCGGAAGGGCGGCGACGGGCCGCAACGGGCAGCAACGAGCCGAGTGAGGGCGGCGATGGGCCGCGTAGGGCGGCAACGGGCCGCGTAGGGCGGCGACGGGCCGAGTAGGGCGGCGACGGGCCGCGACAGGGTGGTGTCGGGCCGAGTAAGGGTGGCGACGGGCCGCTTAGGGCGGTGATGGGTCGCGGAAGGGCGGCGACGGGCCGAAGAAGGGCGGCGACGGGCCACGTAGGGCGGCGACGGGCCGCGTAAGGGCGGCTACGGGCCGAGTAAAGGGCGGCGACGGGCCGCGTAGGGTGGCGACGGGCCGCGAAGGGCGGCGACGGGCTGAGTAAGGGCGGCCCGAGGGAGGCCGCTAGGGGCGACGCGACGGGGCCGAGGGAGGCCTAGAAGGGCGCGACGGTAGAGAGGGCACACGAGGCGCGACTCGGGCCTAGGCGGAGCGTGCTCCGGGCAGGAAAACAAAATTTCGACTTGGTGGGCCCTAGGATCAGTTCCCACGAGGGAACCTGCTCGATACCATGAGAAGAAACGAGAATGATGAACTATGAATGAAGTGGGTACGAGTACTAACCCTAATTGGGTTGTACCCCCTATGGGATACCCCACTACAGCCTACACAAAAGCATAAGCTATAATGTTCCGACACGACTCGGGCAGGAGGGAAGCGCGCTCCGGGCAAGAAAAAAATAAATTCAGTGGTGGGCCCTAGGAAACGTTCCCACTAGGGAACCTGCTCTATACCATGTGAAGAAATGAGGAATGATTGCATTGAGCAGCATGAGGAGTACAAGTAGGAAACCCTAAAGTGTCTTACCCCATATGAGCTACCCCAGTACAGCCTACATAGACTATAGCATATAAGTCTGACACCCAGTTGGTCGTTGACGTGTCGATTTCATAGCTTGGCACACCCTGCATGAGGACACATATTGCTGCACGTCGTTAGAGGAGTCAGGCCAGTAATATTGACGGTGCGGTAATTTCTGGGTTTTATCAACCCCGAAGTGTCCGGAGAAATTCGAATCGTGGACCTCTTGGATAAGGAGTTGACGCAGCAGCTTGTAAGCGGGAACCCAAATCCGGTCGGTTCCGGCCGTGAAGAACGGGTCCGTAGTGTAGCCGTGGGTGAATAGTCCGGTAAGTAACGGGTTCGAGTGGGTGATGAGTAGTGAAGCGGATTGTACTGTCGGTCAGGTCAGGGCGTCGGCGATGTTATTCGCCCCTTTCTTGTACGTGATGCGGTAGGTGAAGTGGCTCTCCATGTAGTCCAGCCACCGAATCTGTCGTGGGTTGAGGTTGGGTTGGGCTCGCAGGTACTGTAGGGACTTGTGGTCCGTGCGAACAGTGACGTCGGCGCCCACCAGGTAGCATCGCCATAATTTAAACGCGTGTTTGATGGCGAGCATCTCCTTGTCGTGGATCGGATAGTTGTGTTCGGCTGCCTGCAGCTTGCGTAATTCGTAGGCGATCGGTTGCAACCCGTGCCCGAAATCTTGGAGAAGCACAGCTCCGATGGCGAAATCTGAGGCGTCGGTTACAACTTCGAACGGCTTCGATGGGTCGGCGATGCGCAGTACAGGAGGGGAAACGAGAAAATTCTTGAGTTCGTGGAAAGCCGCTTGTGCCTCCTCCCCCCACACAAAATTCCTGTCCTTGTGCAGCAGGTCGGTCAGCGGGCCGGTTATCCCCGCCATATTCGGGATAAACCGCCTGACGTAATTCACGAATCCGAGAAAACTCTGGAGTTCCGTGACATTCGTCGGGGACTTCCACTCCTGTATGGTCTTGATTTTCGCCGGGTCAATTTTAATGCCGTCGCGTGATATGACGTGCCCCAAAAACTCCAACTCCTGCTTAAAAAACTCGCACTTAGAGCCCTTGGTGATGAATCGGTTCTCCTGCAGCCGCTTAAACACTACGTCCAAATCTCGGAGGTGTTGCTCCAGTGTCTTGCAAAAAATCAGGATATCGTCCAAGTAGACGATGACACATCGGTCTAGAAGATCCCGAAAAACCCTGTTCATGGTCAGTTGAAAAGTCAAAGGCGCGTTCGTGAGGCCGAAAGGCATCACGGTAACTTCGTAACTCCCGTAGCGTGTGCGAAACGCAGTCTTGTGACAGTCGTCGGCGAAGACTCGAATCTGGTGGTAACCGCCACATAAGTCAATCTTCGAGAAATAGCGAGCGCCGCGAAGTTGGTCGAGGAGGTCGTCGGTGCGTGGGATTGGATAGCGAGACTTGATGGTGACCCTTTTCAGCGCGCGATAGTCGATGCACATGCGAAGCCCACCGTCCTTCTTCGGAGTGAACAGGATTGGTGCTGCGAAGGGAGATGTGCTAGCCCGAATGAACCCTTTCTCCAACAGTGCATCAATTTGACTTCGCAGCTCCTCGAGTTCCGGCTGGGTCAACTGCCACAATGTCCGAACAGCCGGTTGCGCGCCAGGTTCCAGCTGGATTTTGTGGTCCTCAGGTCTCTCGGGTGGCAGTCCAGGTGGCAGGTCATCGGGGAAGATGCCCGGGTACCTCCGAATCAGCTCCGCTAAATCCGGTGGTACAGCTGCACACAGCTTCTCGATGTCTTTTCCATCGGTGTCAATCGCCAACTCGCGTAAGCAAACAGCAAACAGCTGCGCGCCCCTGTTGAAGTGGCGAGCTATTGTGATAGCTTTGACGCACGGGGCTTGGATGCAGTCAGGTGTCCATGCAGGTAGTTGAATTAGCCCCTCGTGCTTGTTGATGCTGCACGATCCCGTTGTCCAGTCGATGACGGGGTTGTGCCGTCGCAGCCAATCACGTCCCAGCAGCACATCGCAGCCGTCCAATGTTGTCGCGAGAAACTTCATGCTGAAGCCGAAATCATCGCCGCAGTCGATCCTGGCCGTCCGTGTTTCATCTGTTATCGCCAGAAGCGTCCCATCCACGAGGCGAGCGTCAATTTCGGCCAGACACCTGTCAAGTTGCAGCTTGCATTTTTTTGCGCTCGCCAAGTTGAAGAGGCTATGGCTGGCCCCTCCATCGACGAACATTTTCAAGTTATTTTTTAACACCTTGCCAGCGACCGGCACAGGGTGATCCACATGTGTATCCCCGTTATTCGGCCTAGTGCGATCGATTGCATGAATCAGAACCACGACTCAGTGGGGATGATGGTGTTCGGGCGACGGAGCACAGTCAGTAAAGGGCCCGCTAATTACTGACTCTTCCCATTTCCCTGCTCCTTCCTTTCGTTCCCAGTCAGCGGCGTTTTCTCGTGGCAGTCTTTCATGTAGTGTCCGTCTTCCCACACCGGTAACACGGTCCCTTAGGAGGGCGGTCGGGTGTATGGACGGCGTTGATCGTGGTCCGATGGGTCTGGCCACGAAAACGGTTTCCCTCCCGGGAAGCTGCTCCCGCGTACTGCATCAGCGCATCTGTAGACTCCACCAGCCGTACTGCTTCAAGAAATGATGTCGGGCGGCCCCTGCGAACCTTGTATTGTATCTCGTATTTGAGGCCGCTGATGTATTTATCTAACCGCTCAGCTTCCGACATATCATCAACTTGGTCGACGAGGTCCATAAATGACGCCATGTAGTCTTGGACAGAAGCCATCTGCGACCATGCACGCAGCTTCATGCGAGCTTGCTCCGAGGCGGATACGTGCTCGAAGCGATCTCGTAAGGTTGCGCCCCACTCCTTCCACGTGCGTATCGTGGTCACTTCGAAGATTGATTGTGCCACTTGATTAGTCACTGTTGAGGTCCCGTCTGCCGCATGCGTCACACCTGTCGGCGTCCCTGTTTCCAAGGTTCGGCGCCACCACTCAAGCGCTGCACCTTGAAGAAGCGAAACCGCGTAATTAATACGCGTGGCATTGTTGTTAACTCCTGCTGCAGTGAAGAAGACCTCGACCCCGAACAGCCACCCTTTTACCGTAACCGTCTGTCAGAACATTATAGCTTACTTATTTGTGTAGGCTATAGTGGGGTATCCCATAGGGGGTACAATCCCATTAGGGTTTCCTATTTGTACTCACTTCATTCATAGTCATTTCATTCTCGTTCTAACTTTCTCATGGTATCGAGCAGGTTCCCCCGTGGGAACTGTGCTTAGGGCCCACCACAACGAACTTTTTTTCTGCCCGGAGCGCGCTCCGGGCCCTTTCTCTTACTTTTTCGATCCGCCCTAACGGCCCCTAGACGCCCGCGTGCCGCCCTTAGACGCCCACGCGCCGCCTGTCCTGGCCCCTTGACGCCCGCACGCCGCCCTAAGACACTCGCGCGCCGCCCGTCCCGGCCCCTAGACACCCGCGCGCCGCCCGTCCAGGCCCCACCCCGCCCGCGCGCTGCTCTTCGAGTCCGCGCGCTGCCCATCCAGGCCCCATGCCGCCCGCGCGCTGCCCTTTGTGCCCGTGCGCCGCCCGTCTCGGCCCCCCCTAGACGCCCGCGCGCTGCCCGCCAGGCCCCTCGACGCCGTGCGCCGCCCGATCCGGCCCCACGCCACCCGTGCGCCACACCCTTCCCGGCCCCTCGTCGCCCGTGCGCAGCCCGTCCCGGCCCCGCTCCCAGCCGCCCGTGCGTCACTCGTCCCGGCCCCGCTCCCAGCCGCCGGTGTGCCATCCGTCCCGGCCCCGCTCCCAGCCGCCCGCGCGCTACCTGTCCCGGCCCAGCTCCCGGCCACCCGTGCACCACCCGTCCCTGCCGTGAGCCACCGGCCCGAGCCGCCTGCGCAGCTGTGGAGCCGAGCCGCAGGAGCCGCCTGTGCCGCTGTCAGCCCGAGCCGCCCGAGCCGCCCGAGCCGCCCGAGCCGCCCCAGCCGCCCGAGCCACCCGAGCCGCCCGAGCCGCCTGAGCCGCCCGAGCCGCCCGAGCCGCCCGAGGAGCCGAGCCGCTGGTGCCGGGGTGCTGATGTTGCTGCTGGGCCGGCCGAGCTGCCGTGTTTGCTGTGCTGCTGTGCTCCCCGACCCGTCCTGTCTGGTGAGATCGCCGGCTGCAGTCATGGCTACCCCTAGTGTCCTAGCTTTTGACGCTGAGGGTTGTGCCATTGACTTTGAGGTCTGGGTCGACGACCTGCAGCTGTTCTTACAGTGCGATAGGGCAGACGGTCTTTCTCTCTTTGACCTCACCTCTGGCGCCATCTCTGCCCCTGCTGCTGATGCTGACGCCACTGTTCGCTCACAGTGGGCCACGCGCGATGCTGCTGCACGTCTTGCTGTGCGTCGCCACCTGCCTACCGCTGAGCGCGCGCACTTTAGCCAGTACAAGAGTGCCCAGACCTTGTACGACGCTGTAGTTGCGCGCTACTCCTCCCCTGCCACTGCTGCACTGAGCCGCCTCATGCTCCCCTTCCTCTTCCCTGACCTTGCCGCCTTTCCCACTGTCGCTGATCTCATTACGCACCTCCGCACTAGTGACACTCGCTACCGCGCTGCGCTTCATGCTGACTTCTGCGCCAAGAACCCCCCCCCCATGTACATCACTCTCTACTTTTTAGTCACTCGCCTCCCTGACTCCCTTCGTGTAGTCCGGGACCACTTCCTCGCGGTCTGTCCCACCACCCTCACAGTCGACAGCCTCGAGAAGGCCCTCCTAGCGGCGGAGAAGAGCATAGTCGCTGTAGGAGCCTCTCGAGGTGACCCCCGCGCCCCCATCTTTGAGGGGTGTTCTCCTTCCCCTCTCCTGCCCTCTGTCGCCTCTGCCGCTGCGGCCGACCTCGTTGGTCTTGAGTCGGTCGGTGCGGCGTCTGCCCCTAGCGGGAGACGCCGCTCTGGCAAGGGCAAGGGGGGCAAGGGAGCGCGTGGGGCCAGAGGGGGCGGTGGAGGTGGAGGTGGAGGCGGCGGAGGGAGTGGGGGTGGCGGTGGAGGTGATGGCGGGGGTGGGGGTGCAAGTAGCGGCAGTGGAGGCGGGGGTGGCGGCGGCGGTGGCGGTGGGAGCGGAGGTGGCGGAGGCGGCGGCGGTGGAGGCGGAGGCGGGGGCGGTGGAGGCGGAGGCGGGGGTGGCGGTGGTGGAGGTGGTCGGAGTGGCGCTTCGCAGCGGAGCAGCACTGGGGGTGGTCAGCGCCAGCAGCAGCAGCAGCAGCAGCGTTCTCGCGACGTCCCCACCCCTCAGCAGCTCCGTGAGTGGTACACGCAGCGTCAGCGTGGTGGGGGTTTTGGTCCCTGCACCTACGTTCTTCGCACTGGCGACCGCGCTGGAGAGCAGTGTGGGGGTACCCACACCGCCCAGCGCTGCTTTGGCCGCCTGACGGACGCTTGGCGCCAGCAGTTCCCGGAGGCCGCGGAGATCCCCCGCTGGGGAGAGCTGTCTAGGGCTGGTGTAGCTATCTTTGATCTTGACTTTGATGCTATCCTTGCTGCCATGTATGCTGTGACCATTAGTGATGAGGGTGACTGTTACCGGTGTTTCCCGCCCGACCCGGGCATTGGTACCGCTGCTCTAGGTGCCAGCGAGGCTTCTGCTCTAGGTGTCAGTGCGTCTGTGCTCTCAGGTACTAGTGAGGCTACTCTCTCAGGTCCTAGTGAGTCTGCGCTCTCAGGTACTGCGTCGGCTTCGGCCTCCCACACCTTCACCCTTGACTCTGGAGCGTCTCGCTCCTTCTTTTGGGACCACACCACACTCACGCCGCTTAGTCGGCCGGTTGCGGTGTCCCTGGCTGACCCCTCTAAGGGTCCTGTTCTGTCTCGCTTCTCCACAGTCCTCCCGTGTCCAGCGGCTCCCTCTGGCACCCTGTCTGGTCTCTACCTCCCCTCGTTCTCTACGAACTTGGTGAGTGGTGCTGACCTACAGGATGCGGGAGTCCACCAGTTCACCCCTGCTCGTCAGCGAGTGACGCACTGCACAGAGGCTAGCACAGGTCGTCACCTGGCTACGTTTACACGTCAGCCAGGGTCGGGCCTGTACACACTGACCACTGCTTCTCCTCCAGTTCCTGAGTCTGGTAGGGTCCCTTCGTCAGGTCAGGTGTTTGCTGCAGCGTCCAGGTCTGGTCCTGAGTCTGCCCCCTGTTCGTGTCGTCGCATGTCTCACGAGACTCTCCTCTGGCACCACCGCCTGGGTCACCCCTCTCTGCTTCGGCTCAGAGGCATGGCCTCCCGTCTTCTTGTGTCTGGTCTTCCCCGGTCCCTCCCTCCCCTTCCTCAGGGCCTTGGCCCTGCCTGTGTCCCCTGTGTCGAGGGGCGCCAGCGTGCTGCCCCTCACTCCTCCCTCTTTCCTTTGACAAAGGCTCCGTTGCAGACGCTTCACATGGACGTGTGGGGCCCTGCCCGCGTCCGTGGACTCGGTCACGAGCGCTACTTCCTGCTGGTGGTTGACGACTACTCGCGTTACACCACAATCTTCCCCTTGCGCAGCAAGGGTGATGTCACTGAGGTGCTGATCGAATGGATCCGCGCAGCTCGTCTCCAGCTCAGGCAGAGCTTTGGCTCGGACTTTCCTGTGTTGCGTCTGCACTCGGACAGAGGCGGAGAGTTCTCCTCTGGCCTTCTGCGTGCCTACTGTCGTGCGCGAGGCATCCATGAGACCTTCACGCTTCCAGACTCACCACAGCAAAATGGGATTGCAGAGCGCCGCATTGGCATGGTCATGGACGTCGCTCGTACGTCTATGATGCATGCGGATGCCCCCCATTTTCTGTGGCCGTTTGCGGTCAGGTACGCGGCGCATCAGATCAACCTCCACCCCAGGGTCTCCAGGCCGGAGACCTCCCCAGCCCTGCTGTGGACGGGGAAGGTTGGCGATGCGTCGGCGTTTCGGGTCTGGGGATCTCGGGCGTTTGTCCGCGACTTGTCTTCGGACAAGCTGTCCCCTCGCGCTGCTCCCTGCGTCTTCCTGGGGTTCCCCCCCGACGCCCCTGGGTGGCAGTTCTACCACCCCACCTCTCGCCGTGTTCTGACCTCCCAGGACGTCACGTTCGACGAGTCCGTACCCTACTACCGCCTCTTCCCCTACCGCACTCCGTCCCTCCCCCCACCCCCGCTCTTCTTCGTACCAGGTCCCCCCCCGGTAGACCCCCTCCCCCCTCAGGGTCCTGCCCCTTCAGGTGTGTCCCAGGTAGACGCGGTCGAGCCTGTCGAGGTCACTCGTGACTCTGGTGCTGCTGTGGCTGCTGAGCCTAGGGGTGCTGTGACTTGGGGTGCTGTGCCTGGGGGTGCTGAGCCTGGGGGTGCGGAGCTTAGGGGTGCGGAGTCTGGGGGTGCTGAGCCTGGGGGTGCTGAGCCTGGGGGTGCTGAGCCTGGGGGTGCTGAGCCTGGGGGTGCTGAGACTGGAGGTGCTACGCCTGGAGGTGCTTTGCCTGAGGGTTCTTCGCCTGGAGGTTCTCCGGGTGCTTCGTCTCGCCGAGAGCCACTCTCCCCACAGGAGCTGCGTGAGTGGTTTGCCCGGCGCTGGAGGCGTGCTGCTGGTGCTGGAGGTTCTTCGCCTGCTGAGGGTGCTGCTGCCGCGCGTCCCGGAGGTGCTCGTACTGGGAGTACTGGAGCTACTGAGCCTGCGGGCTCTACTGGAGCTGGTGCTGCTGAGCGTGTTGGCGCTGAGACTACCGCTGGCGGTCCGACTGGCAGTGCTCCTGGTGCTGCTGGAGGTTCTGGGGCTACTGGAGGTGCTGCTGGGGGTTCTGGAGCTACTGGAGGTGCTGCTGGAGGTGCTGCTGGAGGTGCTGCTGGAGCGGGTACTCCTGCTGGGGGTACTGGTGCTGTCCCTGCTGTTTCTGGCGTCGCCACGCGGCCCCGACCGTACTTCGTTCCGCTCCTGCATCAAGTTATTGGTCTTACGCCTTCTCCTGGTCCTCCTCCTCCTCCCTTAGAGGGTCAACAGCCTATCCAGTCACAGTCACAGCTACAGCCTGCCTCCCCTTTGCCTGCTCCTTCTCCCTACGCTGGTCTGACTGGAGGTCTTACTGAGCTTCGTGAGCCTGCGTCTCGTCCTGCGTCGCCTGTTCGTACTGCGCGCACTAGTGGTCGCGGTTCGCGTCAGCGTCCTCCTTTTTTCCCTGGCACGCACCGGATGTCTCTGCGTCCGTCTACTGCTCCTCTGCGTGCCCCTTTGCCTTCTCCTCCTGCTTCCTCTCTTCCTGCTCTTGCCGACCCGGAGTCGGACTCTCTTCGTGCTGCCAGTCCTACTGTCACGCGTCTCCTTGCTACTGCCGTCACTGACCCTTCTTTCGAGTCTTCTGCTGCGTCTGCCCTTGTCACTGAGCTCCTCGACTTTGCTGCGCGCTGTCGTCTAGACTACGCTGCTAGTCTTGTCGCTGAGTCTGAGTCTACCTGTCCTCCGTCCGTCGGGGGTGAGTGTGCCCTTGGCACGGACGTCCTTGAGGACAGGCAGGAGGATTTCCAGTGTCTGGCCGCCGCTTCACCTCATCTCGCGTCCGTACTGCTCACCCCTGAGGGAGACCCGGATGCACTAGACATCCCGACTCCGCGCTCTTACGCGGAGGCGATAGAGGGTCCCTACTCCTCTTAGTGGCAGGCAGCTATGGATGCAGAGATGGCTTCCTGGAAGTCCACAGGCACCTACGTTGACGCGGTTCCCCCTCCTGGGGCGAACATCGTCAGTGGCATGTGGATCATCAGGGTGAAACGGCCGCCGGGTTCTCCGCCTGTCTTCAAGGCGCGTTACGTGGCTCGTGGCTTCAGTCAGCGGCAGGGACTTGACTACTTTCAGACCTTCTCCCCCACCCCGAAGATGACCACTCTTCGCGTACTGCTGCACGTTGCTGCTCACCGTGACTACGAGCTGCACTCTCTCGACTTCAACACTGCTTTCTTGCAGGGCAGCCTGCACGAGGAGATCTGGCTGCGTCGCCCACCTGGCTTCACTGGGTCTTTCCCTCCTAGTACCCAGTGGAGTCTCCAGCGTCCAGTCTACGGTCTCCGCCAGGCGCCGCGTGAGTGGCACGACACACTGAGAACTACGCTGGCGGCACTTGGGTTTGCTCCTTCCACTGCAGACCCGTCGCTGTTTCTGCGCACCGACACCTCTCTGCCGCCGTTCTACATCCTCGTGTACGTCCACGACTTGGTCTTTGCCACAGCTGACACTACTGGACTCGCCTACGTGAAGTCCGAGCTGCAAAAGAGACACACGTGCACTGACCTAGGTGAACTGCGCAGCTATCTTGGCTTGCAGATCACCCGGGACAGAGCACGCCGCACCATTACCCTGACTCAGTCACACTTTGTGCAGCAGGTCCTTCAGCGCTTCGGCTTCACGTACTCCTCGCCTCAGGCCACTCCTCTGCCTACTCGCCACTCGCTCTCAGCTCTGCCTTCGGATGAGTCCGTAGGGTCGAGTGGCCCGTATGCAGAGCTTGTTGGCTGCCTCATGTACCTGATGACCTGCACACGACCTGACCTTGCATACCCTCTTAGCATTCTCGCACGCTATGTTGCTCTTGGGAGACACCGACCACAGCACATGGCTGCAGCGAAGAGGGTATTGCGCTACTTGTGCAGTACGTCGGGCATGGGGCTAGTGCTTGGAGGGCGCAGTCCAGTGGTCCTCACTGGGCACGCGGACGCTTCTTGGGCTGACGACCAGGCTACGCAGCGGTCGTCACAGGGTTACACCTTCAGCCTTGGTTCCGGCTCTGTTTCGTGGCGGGCTACCCGCTCGTCTTCTGTTCTCGGCTCCAGTTGTGAGGCTGAGATCTACGCCGGGGCTATGGCGGCCCAGGAGCTTCGCTGGCTCACCTACCTGCTGACCGACCTTGGAGAGCCGCCTCGTTCTCCTCCAGTCCTGTACGTAGACAACAAGGCCATGCTGGCCTTGTGTCGAGAGCAGCGACTGGAGCACAGGACAAAGCACATTGCTCTCCGCTACTTTCTTGCTCGTGAGCTACAGCAGCGTTGACAGTTGCGACTTGCGTACGTGGCCTCTGAGGCCAACACTGCTGATGTCTTCACCAAGGCACTTGCGCCTTGTGATCATCAGCGCTGCTGCACGCAGCTGGGTCTTGTGCCTGTCTTGCCTCACTTGCTCACTTCTTGACGTTGCTTGTACCTTTACCTATATATACTCTTGCTCTTGCTTGCTTGACTCTTATATATCTCTATATGTGATCTTGCATGTGAACTGGCCTTCTGGCCTTTGAACTTGTGCTCGGAATGTGTGGTGACTTTGTGATCCACCCTGAGCTTTGCTTTGCTTTGCTTGACTGGTCTTGTGACCCCTTGTTCTCCCCCGCTTTTCCTATGGGGGTGTGTCATAACATTATAGCTTACTTATTTGTGTAGGCTATAGTGGGGTATCCCATAGGGGGTACAATCCCATTAGGGTTTCCTATTTGTACTCACTTCATTCATAGTCATTTCATTCTCGTTCTAACTTTCTCACCGTCTTGTCCGTAGGATTAAACGGGGGTGGATTAACGGACTTGATCTTGATCGTCGTTAATGCATTTGGCGCTGCTGCCGCTCGCTGCCTGTCCTCCTCTTCGAAGTCACGTGTGAGCGCATCAAGCGGACTGCTCATCGCTTGACTGTTGCCCTCACCTTCGTCCACAGGCGACTCCTGACGCGCTTCACCTCGCGTCTGGCGTAGCTCGGCGTTTTCCTCTCGCAGTGTTGTCACTTCCGCCATTAATGTCTTCATGCTCTCCTGCATTTCTGCCACTTGCGCCATCATCCTGTTAACCGCCTCCTGATCCATGTGCCTAGCGCTACGTTTGGTGGGCAGTCTGGTCTCCATGGCCTTCAGGCAAGTGAAAACACGAACTATCGGAGTCGGGCAGGATTGAATTAACAATCCCTGCGGCCAACAGTCGTGTAGTAACTAAACCAGCCACACCCTATGTCACCAAACTACCCTCGGAAAAGCGGGGTGAACTAGGAAAGTAGCTCTGATACCAGGTATTATGAGTTGTAAAAGAGAGTGCGCAGGTAAACGAATAATGAGACTGTGATAAAATGAACTGCGAATACAATGAAGGCACAGACTAATGTACGGGCTAGCCTAGCTAGGAGGAAACCCCGGACGAGCGAGGTTGGGGTGCAAGTTTGGCGATGGGAAAATGCCAGAGGCGACGCGAGGAGCCTCGACAGCGTTGAAATCGGCCGAACGTGCAAAGTCCGAAAATCGGGCTGTACGCGTAGCAGTCAACCCCGATAAGGAATTCAGGAAAATTCCTTACATGTTCTCTTCCGTTCTCGACCCACTCGTGTTCCACCATCCTTCGCTCTTATGGAGTGTTGAGGTAAGTGTTACATTAAAGTAGCTCTAAAATTGTAGAACAGTAATATAGCGTAGCACTTTTGTAAAGTTGAATTTCTGGTAGAAGAGTATCCCGTCGATATGTGATTGTAGCGTTGTACCCGCTGGCAACTTCCACACCAATCGGACAAAGCACACGGCAGTTCAGGAACAGGGAGTCCTTCCTGACACACCTTGCTCGCCCAGCCACGAAACAGGCGGTTAGGTTGTAAATATTGTAACGCTACCAATTGGAAAGCACTTTCTTACCTCGACATGACGGCTGCGCGCTTGGGCAGTTGCTCCACACATATATCATTCTCGAGAGGCCTCCCAAGCGCCGACCAGTTTGGGCACCACAAACGACAGACTCTTCAAAGTCGGTTGCGTCTTGGTCTAGCAACCACCAAGCTCCGTCGTGCATCGCGTTTGGCTCGATTCGCCAGGTCCGCGAACGGTCAGAGTTTCGTCACTGCTGGCGTGGATGGGGGTCTGAATAAGCTGGGACACGTGGCGAGAGTGGATTGTCTGCGCTTGCGACAAGCGCGAAGGCCAGCGGAGAAACGTGGGGGTCGAAGTGCAAAACGAACAGTGCACGCTGCGCCCAACCTTTCTTTCAACAATTCCCGAATTCTCCTCCAACAAAACGCGGCTCGAATCGCACCCCCTCTCAGCAGCACGAAATTAGCGCCTCATGCTTTCTTCCCTCACAGCTGTTTCACCAGGTGAAGCAGTAGTGAAAACAAAAGCATCAAAAGAAACGCTAGTAGCAAGGCGCGGCCACAGTCATCTCAAACCACCCAATAGTGAGCAAGCATCCTCGGAGGTCGTGGTTCGATTCGAAATAGTTTACCAACCATGCCTCAAAATACATGCTAGATTCCTGGTTCAACACGAGACAGCATCTCCATCCCGTAACTCCGTGACGTATTCCTTCGTTCACACCCACATGCCGTCCTGATTTTTCCAGGGCTCTTAGCAGATATATGCACAAGGCAGCTTCTTGTTCAGCTTAGAATACGTATTTCTGTTAGAACGGTCTTCAGCATCTCATATCAGAGAGCGAGGGCTCCACCCTCGCACCTCTCGAGCGGCACGGAGGAGCCTTTTCTGTCCCGCCACACGCGGGGAGCTGACGAACCCGACATGCAGCAATTACGACCACGACCGCCCCCGCTGCCCCACGCGCAGCCGCAAAGCCAATCACAGCCGAGATACGCGTCGCAGTCCCAGCGAATAGACATTCCTAGTAGGCCGGTTATGGAAAAACGCGCGAAATTGCACGACTCGGAGTCGTGCGATGCCATTAAATCATTTCGCAAAGCGCGCTGGCAACAGTTCCAGCAAAATGCAGTGGACAAGTTTTATTCAGTGACGTGGTAAGATGTTGTGTTTGTTTAGTGAGTTTAATTTTTGGGTGTAACCTGTGGCGTGCTGCCCACTGATTCTTCGTAACTCTCGCACCAGTTGGAACGAGTGGTTTAGCATTCTTTCTCGCTGGCGCATTCTCTGCCTTGTTCCTTGTACCGCCCGTTTCCCCACACGCCGGCCCCATCCCTCTCCGTGTCCATCCAATTCTCCTGATTCACCCCCAGTTAGTGATAGTTGTCGTTTTCACAACGTGCCTCATCGGCATGCTGTTGCTGCGTCAACACCAGCCCAATACCACACCCGTCACCCCCTCTCCCTCTCCTCTCCTCCCTATCAGGGGGCTAGCGGTTCTCGTTGACTTTTGAGTCGACTCAAAAGACAACCCCCTCTCCCTCTCCTCTCCTCCCTATCAGGGGGCTAGCGGTTCTCGTTTTCACTTCCGTGCCTGGAACGACGTGCCTCATCGGCGCGCTGCTGCTGCCGTCAAACGCTGTTCTCGCGCTCCTCGCCGTGTGGCTCGTTATAGAGTCGGTGTTTTTCGTGTTTCGTTCTAAGCAACTAAAGCAAATCAGTGACGAGTATGTGGAGCTCCCGCTCCCATCGCGCGAGGAGACCTCGACGCTCCTCGACCGGGTTCTCGCCGTCGCGTAAGTCAATGCAGTTGCATAACGCAACCCCTTTCGTTTGCACCTCATTAGTCAGCTGGCTCAAGCCGCCAAACTGTCTCACCCTTCTCGACCGAGTCCTGGCCGTCGCATAAGTCAACGCCGTCGCACAAGTCAGCGCGCTTTTGCATTACGTCGGGGCTCTTCCGCGCGGCCTCTACATTCTCTCCGCCTAATTATCCCCACCTCTCATTTCCCTCCCATTATCCTTTTTCTCCGTCTGGACCTGACCCTTCCCTCCCTCGCATTATCAGGAAGCAAGCGGATTATAACGATTTCGTGGGGGGCTGGTTCATGGGTGCGTCTCTCGCGTCTCTAACGCGTACAAACGCTCGGCAATTCATCTCGCACGGCTTCTTTCACCGCTTCTACAACGAACTTTCGAGCGAATACCAAGAAGCAGTTGAAGGTAACGAAGCGTCTCTAACGCGTGCAAACCTCACATTGTCCCGTCTCATCCCGACTCGTCGCTCCCCCTCTCTTTGAAGCTCCTGCCATCCGCGTCAGGCAGTCGCCTCAAAACGTCTATTGAGTCAACGCTAGTCAACGCACGTCAACTCAAGTACCCTGTCCTTCCCCCATTGTCCTTTCTCTCCAGAATTTGTTGACAGAGCCGAGGTGCACCTAGAAATGCACTTTAAAGACCCCGACGCGCCGCCTCCGCCTCCCCCGGACCTGCTGTCCTTCGGTTCCGACAGCGAAGGGGAGAGCGAGGCTGGGGAGGAGGAGAGGGGGGAAGGCGAAAGAGCGGAAGGGGACGAGAGGGGGGAGAGCGAGAGTGAGAGCGAAGCGGCGGCAAGACCAAGGCTTACCACCGTCGACGCCGCTGTCGGCGCTGTCGGCGGCTCCGCGATCTGCGGCCCGTTGGAAGCGGCGGCAATCGCGGCGTCCTCGAGGAGCCTCGGGAGGAACTGGAGCGACGCGCAACTTCCGCGAACGAGCGGGAGCAGCGATTGCGGAAAAGGGGAAGAGGAAGAGGCGGAGAGCGGAAGCGGAGGGCGAGAGAAGGGGGGGGATGAGGCGGGATTTGAGTCGAGCGGAAGGAGGACCAAGGGGATGGGGGAGAGGCGGAAGAAGGAGAAGGGGGTAGACGAGTCGGTGCGCTTCATGGCGCACACGCGCGAGCCCCTCCGCGCCATCATCCACCCACTCGCCTTCTACGTCTGGTGCGCCCCCTTTCCCTCCAAATCTCCCCCTCTCCCCCCCCTTTCTCTCCCCCCATCCATTCCATTGCCTCCCTCCCCACATCTTCCCCCCCCTCCCTCTCCCGTTCTCTGCTTCACCACGTGCTATCTCCCCCCAACGCCCGCTCATCTCCCCCTATCCGCGTGGTTCTTCAGGGGCCATATCGTCGGGCTCCTCACCGCCGCCGCCATGCGCTTTTGAAGCACCTAAAGTAACCACTCTCTCCCCATCTCCCCCCCTCCGCCTGTCTCCTGTCCGCATGGCTCTTCAGGGGCCATATTGTCGGGTTTCTCACTGCAGCCGCCATGCGCCTCCTCGGCTTCTCCAAGTACGTGCCCCTCTTGACTCCTGTTGACCTCCATTGACCTTCGCTGACCTCCACTGACCTCCATTGACCTCTGTTGACCGCCGTTGACAGCCATTGACCTCTGCTGACTGCCG